GGCTGGACATACACCTCATAGACGGAGACATGCAGCGCCAGCGCTGGCTTCAGCCGGGTGGAGAAGACGCGCATTGCGACTTGGAGTTTGCGCAGCTCCCCACAGAGAATACTGCTGGAACGCGTGGGCTTCAAGCCAGCCTTCATCAAGCAGCATGCCTCACCCCACCGACCTTCCCGACAGAAGCTGCTGCTGCGACAGAGGCACTGCAGCAGCAGCGGCGACAGCTTGCCGCTTCGGCGCTGCGGTGCTTCTGCACGATGCGTTCCGTGTGCTATTGGCAAGGCCTACACGATACTGCAGCGGCGTTGACCTTTTTGCAGCCAGTGCCTTCGTTGCTGCAGCTCGTCTTGCTGCTGCAGCAGCTGCTGCAGCGCATGGCGCCGTGGCTGCTGCTGGAGCCTCACGAGGCGCTCGAAGCCTCAGGAGCGGCTGCAAGACTCTGGAGGTAGGAGTCTCACGGGCAGCGTGCAGCAGCCTTCCCAGGAGACATGTGCCTTCTATCCCTTCAGCTGCTGCACATCTGCTGCACATCTGCTGCACATCTGCTGCGCATCTGCTGCGGGGGAGACAGGGGGAGGAGGAACGTCATGCACCGCACCGTCGAAGTGTATGCGGTCTGTGTTTTGCAGCCACTTGCTGCAATTCTTCTTACCCGCGGTGTCTACTGCTCTAGAAAGCCTTGGCGGGGAAGGCTGCTGGCCTCATCTCCCGCTTGTTCACTCGCTTGCCTTGGGTCGATTCTCTTCCGCGGAGTCTGCCCTCCTCTCCTGCGAATGTCTTCTCAGACTGACGGTAAGAAAGCCGTCTTGCTTGCGCCTTTCCTCTCAGCCAGCTTGTCACTGGGGTTGCTTTGCGGGGGGGGGCAGTACACATGTAGCCTCGACGCGTTTGGCAGCCCTTCCTCTTTTCGCGGGTGCTGCTGCGGCTCTGCGCTACAGGCTGCATGCAAAGACAGCGCACTCGGATACCTCTACTTCATGCTCGCCCACGCGTCTCTGCACCGGCGCGACTTCGCTGCAGCTCCCCAGCACCTTCTCAATGCTCACGAACCGCTAGATCACTGCCTCTTCAGGCCGTGCCCACACTGCCTGCTCCATTCTCTTCGCCAGCAGCAGCAAGAAGACGCAGGTTCGTGCTGCGCTTCTTACCCATTCACGCCTTGTTGCAGCGGATGCACAGCGCACTCCCTTGCAGCTACCCCACACTGGCACGAAGAGCTTCGAAGGAAGCTCGAAACGCCTCTCGCCACCACCAAGACGCATGCGTGCTCTCTGTGCTGCAGATATACGCGACTGCCTGCGCATGCGCAGCAGCAGCACATGCAGCAGGAAAGACGAACTCTTTCGGCTCCGTCGCTTTCTACACGCTCACGTTGGACGCATTTTCATGCTGCTCGGAAAGACTCCTGCACCTATTCGTGCTGAGCTGCAGCAGCTGCTCGACGCCTGCAGGATGGCGGGAGAAGCTCGATTTCTGCTGCTGTTGCAGCATCAACAGCAACAACAGCAGCAACAAGAGCAGCCGCAAGCACAAGACAAATTGCAATACCTTGAAACAAGGCAAAAACAGGCAGAGCAGCGGCTGAAGCAGATGCGCATCTCGCTGAATAAGCGTTTCTGTCTGCACATCTCTCCAGAGGACCTACTAGAGTGTTTGGCAGCAAAGGGTAACAGTGCTGCCTCCACAGCACATCTTGAGCGCCTCTCGTCTCTCGTTGCAGAGAACGAGTATCCAAGCGCCTCCGAAGGGGGGCTGTCGCATGCAGATGCAGGCACCGCCGCTGCAGAACTGCAGGAAGTTACCCTATTGCATGGTTTTCTCAGACAGCTTCATGGGCAACTCACAGTACCTCCTTACAGAGGAGCATGTGACAGCAGCGCAGACACCCCAGATGGCAGTCCTCTGCGCAGCCGTGGCATAAACAGCCCATCCGCGGGGAGCAGCCGCAGTGCCTTCAGCAGCAACAGCACAAACAGCTCCTGGCTGGAAGGCTGCTCGCTCCAAGTGCTTGATCTGCGGGGGTCCAAGGCGAAGACAATCCCAGAGGAGGCAGCTGTTCTCTTGCTGCAGCGTCTTGGATGCTGTATCAGCAAGCACAGTATGCTGGTGCAGCAGCAGCAGCAGCAGCAGCAGCCCTCGACTGGCATCCTGAGGAGGAGGCACCCCAATTATGCCCCTGCAAGCAGCAGCAGCAGCAGCGACGGAGCGGAGTCTCGCCTCCAGCAGCAGAGGGGGCAGCAGCGGCCTCCTCCAGCAGCTGCCATCGGCCTTGCGAATGGCGTATCAGCGCTCCAGAATCCTTCTACCCCGACCGACAGGAGTAGCAAAGATGCCTTATCCCCATTGGCTTCTGAGGCAGCTGGCTGCAAGGACAGTAACTCCAGGTGCACTGAGCTCGCAAGACACTGACACCCTAGCCGTCCGATGCGATAGAGCTTTCCTGAGAAGCTCGAAGAGCCGTGTGCTTGCCACACACACATACACGCCTTGCGGGTAAGGCTGCTGTTGTTGCAGGTTCCGCATTGTCGTACTCTTAGGATCTGGCGCTGAGCTAGCCTCGAAAAGAAAAACGAGCGCTCGAACGGGGGCAGAAGACACTCAGGAAATCCCGGAGGAAGCGGCCTTCCGCGGTCTGCTGCAACGTAACATCACCGGTCCGTTTTCGCTGGCGATGAGATACTGATTGTGCTGCCGTTCCGCTCTCTACAGCTAGCTGCTGCTCCCTACAGCTGGCTGCTGCTTGCGGAGTGTGCTGGTTAGCCCCATGCACACCCTGTGTCGGTTGCACTCGCCTGAGCTCCCGTCTCGCCACAATGGATGTCGCGGCTTCGAGAGACTCCCTGTGTTGCATGTGCAGGCGTGCTGCTGCTGGAGGGAGGGACGTTCGCGCTGGCAGCTGCAGCTACAGGAGCAGATCTGCTGCACCAGAAGGCCCTGCATGCACTGCCTGCCGCTTGGAGCGGTGGTGGGAGCAGCAAGGACGAGTCCGCTGTGGCTGCTGCGTACAGCAGCTGCACCGATGCAGCAGCAGCAGCGCCAACGGAGGACGAGAGTGCAGCCGCACGCGGCTTCTCGAAAAGCACAGGGATCTTCGCCGAATGGGCTATAGGCCTTGGCAAACGCGCTAAAGATTCCTTTCTGGATGCTAGGGGAGCTACAAAATGCGTCACAGAGAAAGCAGCACGACGAAGGAGCCCGCAGACTATGAGGCCTCTGCCGCTACACGCACAAGCCAGTGGCATGCAGCGGAAAGACCAGCAGCAGCAGCAAGCTCACCGGCTTGTGCAACTGCAGCAGCTGCAGCACCAGCAGCAGCAGATCTTGCACCAGAAGGAGCAGGCAAAGTCAGAGTCACAGCAGCAGCAGCAGCAGCAGCAGCAAGGCCATCCACCGCTAGAGATAGATCGCCATAAATATGCTGTCCGACTCGTTCCGCGTGCAAGCCCTTCTTCACCGACTGCTTCTGTGCGCGAGGACCTCCCTGCAAGCCGCCAGGTTCCTGCCCTCTCATTTCTGCTGACGCTGCTGGGGGGCGACTCGCCGCAGCAGCAGCAGCCGCAAGGAGTCCAAGGAGCCGACTCCCCAGTGCCTCTGCAACGTCGGCGCCAGACTGCCCAGTCCTCGAGTGCAGGGGCAGCAGGCTCTAGCCAGCCGGAACGTGGATCAGCAGCAGCAGCTGCTGCTGCAGAGCTGCGCTGGAACGCCGCTGGAAGCTCTCTCCGCAGAGACATCGCCGCTTCGGGCGAGAAGCAAATGCTGCTAGTGCAGCAGATTTTAGAACGCCTTGAGACCACCGCAAATCAGAAGGAGCCCGTAGCGCCACAACAAGCAGAGCAACAACAAAAACAGCAGCAGCATCTTCGCCGGCCTGCAGGAAGAGGCACGAGTCTTATTGTTTTTCCCCTCCAGGAGACTGCCAGCGCAGGATTTCAGAGGCGCATGCAGCTCCCCAGCAGTGGCGGCAGCAGCAGGCCCATTGTGAGCGTACGGAAGCCCCTGCCAATTCGATCCATGCGGCAGAGGCGGCTGGCTAGTGGTGCCGCCTCAAGACTTCAGCTCTCGCCTCGTCACGCAGCAGCAGCAGCAGGCACTGCCCTTCGGGCTCCATGGGCAGCCATGCGTCGGTGCAGGAGCAGCAGCAGCAGCCTTGCTGGGGATGTGCGCAACAGCGGCAGCAAAAAGCTTGTAGCAGGATGCAATTTCAATGGAGAGTCCATGTCTTTGCGCGGGCAGCGTAAGAGTGCAGCAAGGGTATTGATGCAGCCTCCATCAGGACCCTTGTCCGAATGCGAAGCCAAACAGCAGCAGCAGCAACAACACCCAAGACTTTTTAGGAGGCGGAGCATGCTTCCCTCCTCCCCGGCTGTAGCAGAAGTGCGAAATAGCGACTCATGAAAAAGGTGCTATCGGAGGGTGTAGGGAAATGGTAGCTACGCAGAAAGAGCTCCTGATTGCGCCTGTGCGAGGCAGCAGCAGCAAGGCAGGCGGAAGAAACTTAAGAGCAACAAGTGCAGTTGCCGCTCGCCTATGCAGTAGTGGCTGCTCGCTTTGATCGTTTTAAAATATCTGAGTCAAAGGCGCTGCTGTACGCACAGCTTGGGAGGCAGTAGCAGCAGCAGTACCGACGACTGCTCTCTGCTCTGCCACCTCCCGTCCTCTCTCGCGCTCTCTCTCTTTGCAGTGTTGCCAGTGTTTGTATCAGCTAAAGCAATGTCTGCTTCCTTTTAGCTTGGTAGTACTGGATCGATCCTTAAGACCCCTTAACATGGCTCCCCGCCCCCTCCTCAGCAGCACCCGCTTCTTCCTTTCCCCCCTTACCACCAGCAGCAGTAGGGGCCACAGCCGGCTTGCAAGTGTGTCTATGCACCGACCAGTCAGCTTGCTGGCACTCCTTGGAGCAGTAGGCCTCGAAGCGGCAGCGGCTACAGCGTTTAGTTGCCTGAGACACTCATAGGAGCTCGGCTATAGAGTCCGCAGCTTCTCCCTGACGCCGCGAACTAACCATAAGTCGCCCCCAATGTAGCAATAGGACAACTTTTTAGTGCACAATTAGCTACGCCAGCCAGCCACATATCCCGGTGGGCTTGGCTGCCACTAGCCCCACACCCTCCCTGCCCCCACAGCTCCAATCCAGTACTGACCAGAGAGCAGGCGGTACCAGCTGGCTTTTTGTGAGGCCAATAAAACAGGCATGAAGAAGCTGCTTTTCGCTGGCCGCTGTCATTTCGTGGCAAAGTGTGACATACCTTGCGGCCGCATCGCCTGCACTTGGCGATGACCATCTCTATTTTTGCTTGTATTACGTCTGCTATGCCACGTAGCGCCTGCTGCTGATCTTCAGTCCTGTTGCTGCAAAGGTGCCTTCTTGCTGTGGCGGCTAGAGCCTCCCACTCGTGGCTGTGCTCTTGCAGCAGATGCTCTCGCATTTCGGGTTGCTGTAGCAGCAACACCAGGATTCCAGGCACGAATAGTCGGCCATTATCAGAGCACCACATAAAAATGTGCGGACAGTGCTCTAGGGTTCGCACTCTCTCCCTTTGGCTCCCCTGTTAAGCCGGTGCTGAGCTCTGGGCGAAAGGTCTTTAGCAACCGTCATTTAGGCCATACCACAGAAATCAAAAGGGCACTCTTGGGAGTAGTGAAAAGGCTGCCGGTGCAACCCAGAGACAGCTCCTGAAGAAACGGATTGTAGTGGAGATATCGGAAAGAAGCAAAGAGCGAGGCACACGGGGTGGTGAAAAGGCTGCAGTTGTCGAGAAGCGGCGTAGTGGAGCCGAGAGAGCAAGACGCAAGGGTCTAGAGAAAATGAACGCGATGCCAACTTGGGAAGACGGAATGTGGACGTGCAGCAGAGAATTGCAAAGAAACGCACGCACTTCTAAATATCGGTGCAAATCTCTGAGTGGAGGAATTTGGTCGTATAGCACTTCGTTCAGGTGCCTCCTAAGCTGCAAGCAGTAGCACTCACACACGGTTCTGCAGCGGCTGCTCTTCCCGAGCTGTGATACGCGTGCAGTCGATATCTGCTGTGCGCCCCACCGCAGATGACCGTAGAAAGGCCCCTCCCCAGAAGCAGCGGCAAGCTGACTGGTGACACCTGCATCAGCAGCAGCGGCCCCCCTGTCTCCGGCCACTACAAAGAGAACAGACTTTTACCCTTAGGAGGTTTTCCTTTCTGAAGTTCGTCAGTTCGTAGCTGCACAGAGAAGACGCCCACAGCAGGTGCTGTTGTTGATTCCAGCTGTTGCAGTTACTTTATCTATCCCATGCCACTATTTCTGTTGCGAAAAGAAGGACTCATATTGGACCGCACCGTTGTCTGCAATCCGGATCCATAATAAGTCCGTAAATAGTCAGCCACACCTAAAAGGACATGCCCATTAGCGCCCTCAGTCGGTTCTCAGTCGCAGTCGCAGTGGCGGCTATCAGTAGTTCGCGTGGTGATTCCTCCACCATGGGGAATGCTGGTAGGGAGCTACAGCTTCATCGGCAGCGGCGTCAGCCACAAAGCAGCACAACAAACCATCAGGCGCAACAAAAGCTCTAGGACTTACTTGCGCTTCTGCTTTGCTGATCCGCACATCCCCTCGCTCAACAGTCTTCCAGCTGAAAAATGCAGCAACAGCATCAGCAGCAGCCAAACTGGCGGCAAATGATCCCCATTGGTGCTTGTCTACGTCTCCTCGATGCCCTTCAGCATCATCGACACCGGAAGCCGCAATAAGACAGACAACAGTGGCGACCCTAGTACAGGGATAGCAGGCAACGCTGGGGCATACTGCTGTTCCTCATATACTTCATGCTCTCCCGTGGAGGTCTGTCGTCTCCATGGCTGGTGCTCCAAAAGAGCAATAAGCGTCAAGAGGACATCTACGGCAGCATTCAAGATGCGGAAGGAGGCACTGTTGCCTGACGCAGCTACCGCTAGTGCCACTCCTGCACTTGTGCGTGGTGCTGCGCAGCTGACAGGGTTTGTTTGCTCCATCGCCACTCATGCTGTGGCGGCTTCTTACCGTACTGATCCAGCATAAGGGTCATGATTGTCATTTGAAGGCTTTTGCGGTTGTCAAAAATGAAGCGTAGCAACGTGAGCGCGCACATTTCAGCGGCGAAGGAAGCTTCTGACTCCTGTCGTTCCTGGAGATCGGATAAATCCTCAGGTGTTCTCTTCGCAGCAGCGAGTGGTGCTGCTTCCAAAGCCGCTGATCTTCTCCCGAAATCTGCAGCAGTAGATGTCTTGCTGCACCGCCCATAAACACACGCAGCCAGCAAGCCGATAGATGGCGCGGAGTCAATCTGGACCTGCAACAGCAAGGCTAGCGGCACTGAAGACCACACGCCATATTGTGAGGGTAGACCCAACACGGACACGACAACAGAAGAGCAGTGGCAACAGCAGCAGCAACTGTAACTGCCGATTTGGCAGCTTTTCCTTTTGCTACTGCTGTAGTTGCAACAGAGCACACCGCAGCAGCAACTTCTGCAGCTTCCTGTTGCAGTACTCCACAAGGTCCGGCAGCTGCGCATCCGCAGCGTGAGCCGCAGCCGAGTGAAAAAGCAGTGTCTCCAAGATGGAGGCGAGGAGACCTTCATGGTACACCTGAACAGAAGAGCCACAGGCCATTTTGCAGAGTATCTACGGCGACGCTTGCGCAGTTCAAAGGCCTCAACCAGCAGATCGGTGCAACGGCAGCACCAGCTGTAAGAGGACGGCAACGGGCCTACTGGGAGGTACGCTGTGACAGATGAGAGATTTGCGGTTCCCCGGAGGAGCGGTAGGACTTTTTCTTTCCACACATCCAAAGTAATTAACTCTTCAATCAGCACGCTAACCTGAAAAGGAGGCACCGCGAGACGAACAGTATTTTGCGAGGGTATCAGGACCGCCAGCAACAGCGGCGGCGACACCAAGTTCAGGACACGGAGTTTAGCGTTTTCACATACCGAAGCAGACTGTACAAGCCTTGCAGCCTCAGACTGTGTTTAAGGCACAGTTTTGTGTCGCAGCGTGGTCATCATTATTAACCGCATTAACGACTGCAGCTGACCTTGCCTGCCTCACAAAACAGCCGCTGTGTCTTTTCTGGGCCCCCATTCACAGCCTCCTCATGAAGCAGTACAGAAAGACGCTCCAACGCAGCGTGCTGCTGGAGCCACCTGTGCATTCACCCTAACAGGCTCCTAGAGTCTACCGCAGCTGCCACTGCCACTTACGATGCATGTGCCACAATCTGGCTCCTTGCGTAGCCTCGGCCACAATGCAGCATAGAAAAAGGCATGCGAGATGAGTGCTGAGATATTCATCGGTACTTACTTAGCCACAGCCCCTGAGGCCCGTAACAGAAATATGTGGCTCGCAGTAAAGATCATTTGGCAAACCAGGTAATATAAACACATCAACGTATATGCGCATGCACACAAAGTAAGGTGGTTAACTAGAAAGATGTCTTGATGTTCATGCATATATGTGTATATACAGATAAACTACCAGATTAATGGAAGGGTGTGTCCGCATTCGTTGACTCGAAAATACCGCTAGGGAGGTAATTCATCAAAAGACATAGAAAACAAACGAGCTACTCGAACTTTTACGAGTGCCGTTTTTAATTGCTGCAGTGCTATGTACGCAGAGGGTGGCTTTGTACGCCCCTCACAGACCGTTTCTACTGCAAAGATAATGGTAAATATCAAAAAAATTCGACTATAATTGAGGAAATAACTACTGTATAAGATAATGCACAAGTGTGAACTTAAATAGCTGCATGATGCCAAGGCATACACGGAATATATACAATATAGGGAATATATTCTAACTAGAGACTATTTTGAAATTGTGCAGAGGCGTCTTTTGCCCCTCACTCTTTGCTTCCGATGCTCTCCAAAGGAAACTTCTGCAGTTTGGAGATCAGGGGCTCCGCAATATCTTCATTGCCTCTCCCAACCGACAGTAAGCGCGTGCAGCACTCTGTTGCAGTTGTGGTCATTTTTGACGGCACTTGGAGTGGCTGCAGCCTTTGATGAGAAAGGGGAAGGAACACGTGTCTCTGCCTTCTTTTGGCTTGCTTTCAAGCTCTGAGGCAACGAGTAGATCTGCTTGGTGATTCGGTGCTGCTTCACCAATGTGCAGACGTGGGCGTCCAGATGTACAGGCCCCCGTGAATCAGCACCTCCACGCGGGTGGCTACCGCCGGTGCTGCACACATTTGGATCACTAATATTGATGATGCTGTATTGCGACACAGTTACCCATGCTCTTCAGGGCCATCGCATAAGTAGCTCCCTTGCTTCCTTTGCCTGTGTTTCCTTCCCTTTATATTGGGCAGCACAGCTCTCTGCGTTCTGTTTAATAGAGTTTTTGTCATTTGATCTCTTGATCCCCTTGTGCTTTTCAGCTGCTACTCGCGCTGTAGCGCCTCTGCCTACCACTCCGTTTCCTCTGCCTCCTATTCCTCTCCTCTTGCAGGTGCAATGTCTCCGTGCATATACTTCAGAAGCTTCATGAGGAGCTTTGTGGAGATACAATGGAGTGGTGCTGCGGTCAGAAATCCCCACAGCGCTATGCGCAAGCGACTCCTTGTCAACACGGGGTTTGCGCGCTGCCTTCAATTCACCCCAGAAGTTGAATACAATCCAAACTAAACTAAAACATACTCTACCTGCTATGACTTTATCCTTTAGAGCTATGTATTTTGACAAACTATGCACAAAGAATGTAAATTTATACTCGTATTCAATGAAATGCTTGGGGTCTTCCTTCGCAGGGCGTGACGTTCGACAGCCTCTAAAGAGCGCAAAGTGCAGCAACAGCTGCGGCATATCGAGCGTCTCCGACAGCCGAAGAGGCGAAATTGGACCTGAAATTGATTTTTGGAAGTACAGTGCATAAAAATTGCCTGACGACAGCACGACGATTTCGACACAGCAGAACACACTAGCTGGACTTCTCAACGCCTGCAGTAGCCGCCTCCTCAGCAAGGGCACGGCTTCCTTCTGTGCAGCTCGCAAATTACTGCGGAACTACCTGCTCCTTACTACGATGTGAGACGGCTTCCATTTTATAGTTTTTTTGCTCTTATCAGCTGTCTCCTTGGATTTTATTCTCAGGACGTGTGTAGGCACCCCACATGAAGATCTGCTGTGACCCCGCGAAGTGTTGCGGCTATGAAAGGAATCCGTCAGTTCATGACATATGCATCTTTTAGGTTCGTACCGCAGAGACGATTATTTCCACGTGTCTTCACGCTATATTCTTTATCGATGGCTCACCTTGGGAGTGCCGCGCCGCCCAATTACATGCCAGGCGTCTGTCGGGAGGACCCTCATGCGTGCATCGTTTTAGGAGGTGGCTGCTTTTGGGGTCTAGAGATGCTCTTTAGAGAGCACTTTAGATCCAAGCTGCTAAGTACGCAAGTGGGCTACGCAGGAGGCCACACACAAAACCCTACATACGAAGACGTCTGCTCGGGTACCACTGGTCACTTTGAGGCCTTACGAGTTTGCTATTTCACTGACAAAACCACCCCTGAAGAAATACTCGAGTTTTTCTGGTCAGTTCATGACCCGACAACAAAAGACAGGTACATCTGCACGTGGGCAGTCAGCAGAGGCTAAGCTGTCTCATGCGTACGGAGATTTGTAGGTGGCCGTTGATGGTGCCTCTCTAGACGGTACCACTAATACAAAGGTGCCACATAAGGGTCTTAAAGCCGACCTGCTCAAAAAGGGGGCCCTGAGGGAAGCGACAAAGAGAGTGGCTGGCGTCCGACACACGGGGGCTGACGCAGACAAGTGTACGAGATTGAAGGAAGTGTTCAGCAGATGGTGGCACGCAGACGCACGCAGTTAGAGGGAGAGCGGAAAGAGCAGAAACTACGGGCGCAGGGTGAAGCAGCTGCCAGCTCTGATTTACAGCAGCGTTTTGGCCTGGAGATTAGGGTGTTCGTGCGAACTGCACGAGGGCGCACTCATCAGGCTGATAACTAGAAGGGGGCAATGGACGAATCAAAGGGGTAGATAGGGTGATCGAAGCGGTTGCAACTTAGAAAACGCATCCGCCTTCCAGCGGTGCTCGTGTAAGGGGAAACCTTCCCTTTGTGAAGGCGTAAAACACGGTTCACAGAAGCGGGGTTGATTTAGGGGGCGCAGACAGCACAATCTTCGGAAATTTCAGCAATTGGACTGCTTTTAAATGTTGCCTAGCATCACACGGTGAGGTGTGTGTGTGTGTGTGTGTGCGCATCCACCTGTGGCGTTTTGCCGTCGTCAGACAAGGACCAGATGTAGGACCACAATATCGTTCTGCTGTCTGTGTAAGTTCTCCCGAGGAGCAGGCAGCAGCAGAAAAGGTCTTCTCCTTAATGGAGGAGAAATGGGGGAAGCCTCTGCAGACACAAATACTTCAGGGCAAATGCGCATTCTGGCCGGCAGAGACAAAGCACCAGCTGTATCTGGAAAAACATCCGGGGGGCTACTGCACCCATAGAAACCATTTTACCAAAGGCAACAAAACCTAGAGACGGAGTATCTTGGCCTCCTCTCCGCACCCTCGAAATATTTTCACCACTTCAACTGTTGCTTGTGCCTTCTTCTTCCGTGCTTTGCCCTCCTCTACCCGCATGCAACTTTTTCAGTGCCTCTGACTTTGCTTCGGCAAATCAAGGGGGAACAGGGCAGTCGCTCACCAAGTTGGCCTCCTGATGCGAAGACTCTGCACTCAACATGCGATGGGCAGTAGAAAACACATGATCGATATGATGTTTCCTGGATTCCAACCAGGAAGGCATGCTTTTCATGCATCGCAGCTTCAGAACTTCCACGATTGCAGAATGCAGCTTCTCACAAAGTGAGTGTTGGCTTCAAAGCCTTTTGCTATACAGGACTTTTGGTTATTATTGCACAAAGTGGAAAGCTGAGGGCTCAGAATTATGTTGGTTGCCTTAGACAGGGGAAGTGCAGAACTCTTCTGGCGTAAAAGTCACATTATTTTGGGGACTAGTGTTTGGCGTTTAAAGCCTTTCGCAGTTCGAGACTTTTGGCTATCAATGACCACTGAAGATAGTAATACTCAAATAGAAGATGGCTGCTTAGGTTTTACAGGAAGATAGGTAGTATAATATAAGGGCCGATACCACAGGCTCCCCAGGGTGCATAATACTAATGCGGCTTAAGCGGCTCTGCGGGCAGTTGAACGCCCCTGCAGGTAGACTGATGAAGTCAGCTGCTGCCTTTTAAAATTGCTACTGAGGAATTTGTAATTGGCAGGGCTACTGCCGTAGCGCTGCAAAACAACATAAACGAAGCCCAGCGACAGTGCAGATCCAGCTTGTCAGTGGCACCCATAACAGACAGCACCAACTGGTACCAGGCGAGAGAAGCGAAGCGATGCACCTACAATATCGCAAGTTCAGATACCAGATATTTTTGTGGCATTCACCCGCCCGCTTCCGACAAAAGGAAGGGCTAGATGCAGTAGCCAAGTATAGCCCTCTCGGTCTTGACGAAAGATGCAGTTTTAACAGCCACCCCAAACTCAGAAGTGACGGATGCTACTGTTGCATCTCGTAATGGAAAGACGATTAGCAAGGGAGCAGATGCATAACAAATGGATGCCTTGCAACCCAACGGGCTCACGGAAAGCGCATCACTTCCCAAAGCCGCTCCCACTTTTATGCGCGTCCTCCCCTGGCAGCCAAAGTTTCCCGACTGCCCCCGCCACTGGAGCCCCTCGCAGCCGACCCCTTGGGCGCCACCCTGCAGCCAATGCGCCGTTCACTGTGGCTGCCCACTTGATGCTGATGTCTACTCCATTTTCACCTATCAGCGCAGCTCGTTGCTGCCAGCACGAAGGGATATACGCGGGGTTAGGCGGTGCCGCCGCGTGTGTGCTGTGTGCACTTACTCTTACGAGCAGGCCCCCCCTCGAAAAGCAAAAATGCAGCGGCAGCGCACCGTGCTCGCCATGCGAGAAACAACTACCGTGAGCTGCAACTGACTCCTTCTGCCCCCTAGGCACGGAACAGACTGTCAACCACTGCCCATACACCCAACAGCGCACCACTAATCAGGCCTGCCCAAAACTTTTCTCCAGCGCAACCCCAGCAGGATGAAGTACCCCTAGGGTAGCACGAGCGCCCCCGTACTACGCCTCTTCCAACGCTCATCGCTCCTCTACCAGAAGCTCTACCCGGTGGCTCTCGCATACTCTGCCATCTAGACAAGTTTGTGCGTTAAAAACTACAAGCCGCCGCAAAAAAGGCAAAACTTGCAAATAAAGCAGTTCCCCCGCATTTCTGCAAACGGGTGGTTTATAAGCACGCATCCTCCACCACCACAGCAGCAAGAAAAACCAACCATCAGCACAGCCCTAAACATCCTGCGCACAACCCCTGTCAGCAGCACGCCTCCACACACACACAGCAGCAGCAGAAAACCCCCTAGTTCCTGCTAGACGTGTAGCAGTCAGCAGAAGTCCATCTACCTGCAAGGCGAGAAGGCATTATATTTATGCAGCGTCTTGGGCAGCAGTGGCAGCGGCAGAGAAAAGAACCTTCGGCAGTCTCTCTCTTCCTTCTTTGCGGACTGCGGAGGAGAGGAGCCCCCAGCCTCGCTCCTCCCGGTGACGTTCCACCCCGCGATCGACAATTTCATGAAAAATTCATAAGGATGCCTCTGGAAGGCGCGTGGGGTGAGCACACAGCAGCCGTCTCTTTCCCAGCGTGTTCTCGCGTGCTATTACTCCCTTCTCCTCGCCTACCGTTGCACAAGAGAAATCTGAGAGGCTATGTGAAGACTGCGAGGGGGCCAGCCGGAGGAGGGCTGTCGTGTCTCAACCAAGCACCCCGACAAGCTGCAGAACCGCCACGGAGCACGGCGAGGCATGGAGTGGCAGTGATGGTGGATGTTGTGTGTAGAGCTTCCTAGGGTGCGCGACACAGCACACACCACACCTTCCTAGTGTCGTCGTTCGAGACACCGCGCCACGAAGAAGCAACACGGCTAGCAGCTCTGGGAGGAGTAGTAGTAGACTCCCTAATTGCTTCCGGGTGGTCTACCCATGGCAAGGGGGTCTCTGTCTTTTTTGCCTCGGCATCCTCCAAGCACGACGGCGCCGTCGGGGTGTCGCGGCGCTCCAGCGTTTGTCTGCGTACTTGCCCTTCAATCTGCCTACGCCTGTGCACGCCGCCTTCTCCCCTCCCCTCTCCCCCCTCTGCCCTGTCGCTCGTCGCATTGCCACGATGAACAGGCGAGGTAGGGGAGAAGAAAAGGAGAGGCACGGGAGCACAAGCAGCTGAGAGGAGGAGCAGCGTACATACACCACCATCCAGACACGGCCCGGAGCGCGCACGACAACACACCGAGGCTTCCCTGTGCATGCAGACAGACCAAAGCCCCCTTTCCTCCTCTCAAGGCTGCCCAGCATGGCAACACTGGCCCTGAGACGGGAGGAGAGGTCCTGCTGGGGAGAAGGGATCTGGCAGAGCGACATACGTCTCGGAAACTCCTTCGCGCCTGTGCCCCCTCCCCCCAGCAGCCCTCACCATGAACAGAACAACCCACCCCCTCTCTCTTATAGCATAATAAACCACTCAGAGGCGTTTTTTGTTTCGATTATTTTCCTGACGCATCATACTGAACACGCAGGGCGAGAGAGAGGACATAAAACGGTCGGCCTGATCGTATTTCGTCTTTGAGGAATCGCAGTTCGCACACGTGTCATATTATGCTGGCAGTCTCCACCGTCGCGCCAAGATATTCGCATTTCGTGAGACAACCGGCCACCCCCACTCTCTATGCCGCCATCTCCCCGCTGTCTAGAGGCGTGTGTGTGCGCAACGCACTGAGGGAGGAGGAGGCCCCTCGAGTGTACAGACAGGCCTCCTGAGGATGACTGAAAAGCATGCGGCTTCATGCATTCAAATCCTCCTCCTCCCCCCGCCCTTTTGATGGATTGGGCTCCACTCCACAACGGCCCTCTAGACAAGCGCTCCGCAGCCGCTGCACGTAATACTTCTTAACGCTTCGAAGGAAGAGAGATGCCGCTTCAGATCCTTTCTCTGCCGCCGCTGCCACGCTGCTGCTGCCTCTTCCTGTGCAAGCAAGAAACGCCTCAGGAGCCACCCACAGCAGCAAAACCAGCGAGACGCGATCCGCAAGAAGAAGCACCACACAGCCTAGGAGTGACCGCAAGGCCAAAAGCGACAAAATGGAGAAGAGGCGCGCTAGAAGACGGCGTAGGTAGGTGAAGAAGAAGGACGGGGAAGAACAAGGGGAAGATGGGAGAAGGGCAGTAGTTTTGCGCCTATAGACCGATGATAAAATACGCAGTGCACGTGTCGTGTGTGCCAGTGTGTGTCAAGAGGCCTCGATAATAGAAGCACGAATATCCGTCTACATGAACCGCCGAACAACCGCTGGTACCACTTTGATGATGCCGCCGTCGCAGCTCTGGCTGCCGTTCCTGTTGTCGCTACCCCTACTACACCTGAAGGCCAACAACGAGGCAAGCAGATAAAGCACCCCACGAAGAAAAGCAGAAATACGCACGCATCAGGCACATCACCACCGCGGAGAAGACATCGCGCCTAAGATCGAGATGTGCATTCTAATTAGCATTCCTCGCCTCTCGCTCGCTCGAAAAAGGAACTGCCCTCTCCAGCCTGCGGGCTCTTTATTTATTTGCACCTTCCCACTCCCTCGAGCCACAACGCAATAAAGGATGCAGACAACCAAACGATCATCACCGACAACTGCTGCATCGCTGGCTCCTCGCCTCTCCGTAACTGCCTCAAGAACGCTCGTTGGAACGCGTGAAACCACCGCAGAAACAAATTCCTCGTTACTTCCACTCGCCTCCATCCAGCTACTCATCTCTGAAGCCTCCTCTCGCACCTCGCACCTTCATCTACCATCTTCGAAACCGCACAAATCAAACAAACCGAGAGAAGAGAAGCGCCGGCCACTGTGCCAGTCGCGCAGAACGGAAGAAAGGAGGAGTGCACCATCCGCAGAAATCCACCGCTACGCCAGCAAAACAGGCGCCTTCCAGAACGACCCGCTTTTCGAATGTGCGAATAGATATATTTTATCAAAGGACGTGTACCACAGGAGGCACGAGACAGCACCCCTACAACAGACCGAATGATTGGGATGATCGATACGTAAATCCATGATGCGGACAAGCACACACACACAGACACACACACAAGCACACGCAGACAGGCAAGCAAAACACAGGGAAACACAAAACACACATACATCACGCAGGGGAAGCAAGAAATCGCAAAGGGCCCTTCTCCGCTTTTTGAACGTATACAAAATGTATATTTCTTCCTTCGCTAGTACAATGAGCTCGCCGTGTGGACACGGAAACAAGTTGCGTAGCAGAAGAAGCGCAGTGGTTCCATCCAATTCTCTAGAGTCGCATCTCTCGCCTCTTAATTCTGCCGTCTAGTGTGGCAATTCCTCGCCATATTATCCGTCGGGTGTAAGATCCACGTGATGACTGATGAGACTT